CAGGCTTGGTCTAGCCACCACAGAAACAATTGAGTGTGACTCTGTTAGCCATGCTGCATCCCTGGATGGCAACAGTTTCAGATGGAGTCACTTCTCTGAGGAAGAGATAGCTGAGACTAACCATAGCTTATTATTGTTATGTAGCTGTATTATTATTGTATAGTCCATTATTATTACATAGCCCACTCCACAGCGATACAAAACAAACTCTACTGAGCTTACCAAACCAAGAACCTGCTGGGATGTGTCTATGGGCTAAAACACCTGCCTGGCAGGTACAAGGCCCTGCATTCCATTTCCAGCATTGAAAAAAGCAAAAAGATAATTGACTTCACTGCATGACCTAGTTATTAATTTATATTCAAAGCTGCCATGTTTCAGGCCCAGTAACTTTACTAACCCACAGAAGAGGGTTGATTTTGGCTTGCAGGGTTGAAGAATAAAGGGAAGATAAGAAGATAAACTACTGGCATGTTGGCCAAAGAGTAGAACAAAAAGAGAGAGGATCATGAAACAAAGTCATCAATGTGCACATGGAAAAGGCATTCTTCCTGACTTCACATTGGAAAAAGATCTGTACACATAAATTAACAATGCCACTAAGCTTAAGAACACATAATTGTGGATTTAAAATCATATAGAAATTTTAAATCCCATAAATTTTAGGGATCGCTTACTGGTGAGGATGTCTATGAACCACAGAGGCCTCAGATATGATTGCTGTAGCAAGTTCACCTGTCTGGACATGAAAAGCACCAGATACCTCTCTTGGTATCCTCATGTTCCCAAGCAGCTTTCCCAGCATTCCTGAGGCCAGGGTATTTGGGAGCTTTTTGACTGTTCACTCTACCACTCCTCATCAGAAATTAGAATATATTTATTTATTTATATGTGTGTCTGTCTAATAAGCTAGGTGCTGATAATGATTGCTATCAATGATATGCTTGTCTTAGCTATTTTCATGCTATGTTATAATCATCCTTTAAAATGTATGTTTAATCACATAAAGAAAACATGAAAGATTAATGTCTCTCTATAGTTGAAGGCAAAAAACACTCATTTTCATCCTTTGCTAGAAACAGTTACTTCTGGAAGGATCTCCAGCTGTTGGGCTCATTGTCCATGCCCCCACAGAGTCTGCCAGAGATACAAGGGAAGCCATCCTTTCAAAGCTGGCTAATAAGAATTCTTTGGAGCCCCATGGCTATGTCTCTAAGATGAAGTATGGTAAAAATCCTTACTTTAGGAAGGTTCCCTGCCATGACTGCCTGGGACCACTGGGTACTGCATTAATTTGAGACGCTCATGCACAGGCATGAAATGAGGTGGAGTGAGGTGAGGTGGCTGCTTTGAGATCAGAAAACAGTTCAGCATTTAATAGTTAAAAGTCATATGTTTTATGATGACTAAATTGTTTAAAACAGCACATTTCTAGAAGCCTGCCAGTATGCCTTAAGAATCAGGTAATGTTTGACATGTTTCATGAGTAACTGACAGCTGTAAACATTGATTTACATATCTGAGTTAGAATCCATTAACTGAAAATATACACTAAAAGATAAGACTCGCTAATTAATTCTCCTTGGGTTACTTTAAATTTGTGTCTGACCTCAGTTTATCTCTGTGTATGGAGTACAGACCCACCAAGACCTCTCATAAGGGACAGTAGGAAGGAGTCCTGGATGGTGACCTTGATCCTGCACACTGCACTCTGGTAAAAACACAAAAGATCTAAGGTTAAGATGAGAACAGAATGCTGTCCCCATGGGCAGAAACCTTCTTAGGAACTGTGACCCCAGGAATGAACGCCACTGTCCTAGGCCTGCAACTCCAAAAACATCACAGGATGGTACAGTCTCTAGCTGTCTGGTCTACTTTTACTTAATTTGAATAAATGGGAATATCTCCACCTGGATGCTGTCTCCCATATTGTAGAGCACACACTAGAAATTATGTCAGACTCACCCTGAGTCTTTTATTTAAGAATGTTTAACTATCTTACATATACTTCTTCCTGGTTTATTCCTAATAGCTGTTCATTAATTTCTTCTTTATTCCTAGGGTTATAATCCCTGTCTTGTTCAGTAACCCTATCTAATCTTTTAACAAATTGTTATTAGAAAGAGTGTGTGTGTGCATGTGAAGTCCAGAGTATTGTGGAGTCAGGTCTTTCCTTTCATCTTTATATGGGTTCTAGGGATTGGACTCAGGTCACCAGGCTTGCACAAGTACCTTTAATCATTGAACCGTAGTCTTACTTTGACATTGTCTATCATGTTACCACCTTTATTGAATCTGAAGCAGTTCCAACTTAAAACTGGATGTTTTGTTTCTTAACATGAAATGTAGCCCTGAATAATAATCTGGAGGATGACTGAAAGCAAGGGCCTCTCTCTGTGAAATCTGACCCCTCTGCTGTTTCAGACTGCTGTTCCTGGCACTAGATCCCACACCTCAGAGATCCATCTTCTTGCTACCAGTGCTGTTTGTGCAAATGCAGGTTGATGACAGGTCGTTGGCACCAGGGCTCTTCCTGGTCTGGAACAAGTCACTCCTTCCATTCTGACTCTGTGCCCAGTGTTATTATAGTTGTTGCTTTGTCCTGAGGACTTTGCAGGAATGGTGTGGCTGATCCTAGCCATGGTCTGATGTTGAGAAGACAAGTATGAAGCAGAGCCACTGTAAGCCGATTTCTTAGGTCTTATTTTATGAGTGGAGAAGAGGTCCAGAGAAGTCTTTTCTGGGACAAAATTATGAATGACTTGCAGAAAATGGGAAAATTCATAAGAACTCTGACTCTGAGATGAAATTCTTCCTCTTAGTTCATGCAATAGCCTATCAGCTAATAGTTCAAAACAAAAATCTTATTTTTTACTTATTTTCTTTTTTTTTTCGGTTTTTCGAGACAGGGTTTCTCTGTGTAGCTTTGTGCCTTTCCTGGAACTCACTTGGTAGCCCAGGCTGGCCTCGAACTCACAGAGATCCGCCTGGCTCTGCCTCCCGAGTGCTGGGATTAAAGGCGTGCGCCACCACCGCCCGGCTACTTATTTTCTTTTAAGAATTCGTCTCTAGCTCAAGTTTCTTCATAATTACTATCCTCACAGTGCCTGACACTGCCTCATAATTTAATTTCCCCATGATTGTGCACTTTCCCTCCAAACAATGTGCATATGGAAAGCTTATTAGCATTTCATATCTATGTCAGTGTCAAAAATGATGCTTCTACTTCCTTACCCTCTTTTGGGAACCTTCTGGTGCTGCACAGGGGCATCCTAGTGTCCATGCTGCTAAAAAGTCACCTTTTAGTCACTGCAAACCCAGCCTTTCCATTCATTCTGATGATAGAATTAAAGAGCAATGAAGATGTAAATGGGAAAGTCAAACATGATCAATAACTGAGCACCTTCCATTTCTCTGTGGAATATGGGTCTCCTTGTCACAGCTGAGACTCCAACACCCCCACACACACACATACTCCTAGATGCTAACAGTGTTACATGATGTAACAGGCTTCCTACTTTCCTTGGTTCTTGTCTTAATCAGGAAGGTGTTCTGGGTTTTGACTTTTTTCTGTGTTTGGAACAATGGCTTTGCCCTGTGTGCTAGTTACATGGTGCATTACACGGACAGGTGTTATGGGGCCATATCAACCTCATACCTGACATCAGCATGACCTGGTTGTGGTGTCATGTTCTTTCTGCCTCTGCTTGCTTGCAGCATTGTGTTGAGGATTGTGCTTCTGTAGTTACAGGGCACACTGGGCTGCACTCTCGTGGGACCAGTACCAAGTTGTGATACTAAGATAATAGGATGAACTTGGGAGCATTCTTCTATTTTGGAACATTTCATGAACTACTGATAATAACAAAGTTTGGTATCATTTGTCAGTGAGACTCTCTGAGCCTTGAAACCTTTTAACTAATAATTCTGTTTCTGGTCTTGTGATAAACTACTTGATTGCTATTTCTGGAATTTGTCTGCATCATCTGAGTTAAAGATTTGGCGTAGGCTGCTTAAATATTCAAATCTCCAAAAGTATTACAATAGATCGGTGTTATCATAAATATCTGTGAGTTAAAATAAATGCACACCAACGTAATTTCATTAGATGTAAAATTGTTTAGTTATTTACCATTCCCAGTGAATTTAATATTTTATCAAAATGTTTAGTTATTTACCATTCCCAGTGACTTTAATATTTTATCAGCATGTACTAACATTTTTATCTCTAATGGCATTTTCATCTGTCTCTACGTTTTTAACGCGTATCATTAAACAGTTATTTTCTGTCAGGCTCCTTCCCATAGCATCTGAGTTATTTTACCTTCACCCATGTCTGATCTCCTCTCATATTCAGCATGTCTTTCTGATACAGGCTATTTTAGCAGGTAGACAGTGGTTTTCCTTATTTCTTTAATTTACCTTTCCTAGTTGGGAATAGGAGGAACACTGTGTGCATATTTGTCACCCTTATGTCTGTGAAATAATCTCAGTCTTTGCTCATTTTCCCATTTCTTTGTTCCTCTTGCATACTGTGAGAGTTTATAATACATATTATACACAAGCTGTTTTCAGGCATGGTACTTCTCCAATCTGTAGTTCATCTTTTCATTAGAAGAATGAAGTATTTCATAGAGCAAATATTTGATGAAGCATAATCTGTAGAATTTGGTTTTAGTATCTAGTCTTAGGACTGTTCACCTAATTCTGGCTGCTGAATACTCTATGCTTTATTCTGAAACATTTATACAAAAATATTTATCTATACACAGCTGTATAACTTAAATATCTCAAGACTTGTGTTAATGTTTATTTTGAAGCCATGGATAATGCTCAATTGCCCAGCACACACATTCACACATATTGATACTCAGCAGAGTAGAACACACTGGCTCTTTATCACAAGGTCAAAATTAAAACCCTGTGAAGAAGCACCAATTGTCCAGGACAAGACAGAGAGAGCATTTGTCAATGAGTGTGACCAGCTCAGCTGTCAAACTTCACGGAGATCCTTCCCTGAGAGTGCCACCTGCAGCCAGTGGCTGACACCAGCCTGCACCTCTGGATTCAGTGTTTACTTGGTGCCAGAGATGGTGGGACTCATGATAATCTTATTTCAAGAGGTAAAAACTGCCATATGACATTTGATCTTTGCTCAGATAACATTTTTATTGTTTTCCCCTACTTTCTACTTTCCTAAATCAATTATTTTATATATGTGTGGTCTCTGTGTATCCATAATTTAATTAACAAGTACACCATGTATAATATATGACAGGAATGGAATTAAATGAAAAGTAATGTCTATAGAAAGAAACATTCTTTTCTCTACTTTAAAACTATGTCTTTCTCATAAAGTAGGTAGAAATGTGGTATAATGTCAAGTCATTCTGATGTTTTCTACTGGTAATGTTTTATTAGTGATACTATTTTTAAGAATTATAAAATTAGCATTATTTAATGATGTTAATGCAAAAACCACAGGTTTCATATTAAAGGGAATTTAGTTTACTCTGGAGACATTTTACATGGCCATGGCCTGGAACATGGATTTAATTTACCCCCAATTCTATGTTCCAATGTAGAAGCTGTAGTGGGTAGCCATTCCAGCTTTGATCTGGAAGTTCCAACCCCCATTGAGACTTCGGCAACTGTCACGCCTACAAGGCGGGGCGAAAGGAGGCGCCTGGGGACCTGAGATCTGGATCGGCGGGCTCGCTCTCTGTTGCGGGACCCTGGACTGGAGAGGTGTACCAAGCAGAGCTCCAGAGAACACCGCTGGACTGCGATACACCTTCCCCAGACTCCGCGACCTACCTATCCCTTAATTTGTAAGTTACGCCATTAAATAAATCTCCTTTTATCTACGTGGAGTGGCCTTAATAATTTCACCAATAAGAAGCAGTTTTAGAAAGTTTTTTTTTACGGAACAAAGAAAGTCATAAATCAAGGCAAGTTTAAAATACATTGTTGGGTTCATCAAAGAGGCAGTTATAGCAAGGTGGGAGCAGATTTTTTTACAGTCCTAGATGATATTTGATGGCATTCTTGGGTTTTGTGTTGGTGGAAGCTAGTGGTCTGCTAAGTTAATAGATTGCAAAAAAAAAAAATTGATCCATTAGTCACAAGATGTTAGGTCAGACACAGGGTTGTAGGCAAGTAATGGCTGTTCTGGATGCTTAGAACCAGCCCAAGATAAAGTGATAATTCCTGGGACTGGCATTATTCCAACCTCTCCATGGTACTGAAACTCTAATCAGTCAGTCTCCATAGACACAATAGTTTTCATTAACAATATCAAAGAATACAGGTTAGTAATTTGCCCCCACCCTCTTACAGGTACTTATTAGCTGTGTGTTCTGTGTTATATTTTAGAATAATCCTTGTCTAGTTAAATAATTCTCTTGCTATTTTAATTAAACTACATTTTGATGACTAGATTTCAGGTCCAGCTGTATTATTGGGACATTGACTTTTTTTATTCAAGTACATGAGTTGTAGGTTATTTTAATCATTAATCATTTTCAGCCCTCAGATATTTCAGCAACTCTAGCAAATCTACTTTTTCCTAAGTCATCAATGAATTCTCAAATCTGACAGAAACTAAATGACATAATTCTTCTTTTCAGTTTTTTCTTTTTCTTTTTTATTTAGAAATTTTCTATTCATTTTACATACCAACCACAGATACCCCTCTCCTCCCTCCTCCCACCCCCAGCCTCCCCCTGCCAACACACCCCCCATTCCCACCTCCTCCAAGGCAAGGCCTCCCATGGGGAGTCAGCAGAGCCTGGTACATTCAGTTGAGGCAGGTCCAAGCTCCTCCCCCTGAACCAAGGCTGTGTAAGGTGTCCCACCATAGACACTGGGCTCCAAAAAGCACCAGGGATGGATCCTGATCCCACTGCCAGGGGGCCCCTTAAGCAAGTCAAGCTACATAACTGTCTCGCCTATGCAGAGGGCCTAGGCCAGTCCCATGGAGGCTCCACAGCTATTGGTCCACAGTTCATGAGTTCCCACTAGTGTGGTTTGGTTGTCTCTGTATGGTTTCCCATCATGATCTTTATGCACCTTGCTCATAGAATCCCTCTTCTCTCTTTCTTTCTCTCCAGTCTTTCAACTGGACTCCTGGAGCTTGGCCTGGTGCTTAGCTGTGGATCTCTGCATCTACTTCCATCAGTTACTGGATGAAGGCTCTATGATGACAGTTAGGGTATTCACTACTCTGATTACCAGGGTAGGCCAGTTCAGGCACCCTCTCAACTATTGCTAGTCTAAGGTGGGGGTCATCTTTGTGGATTCCTGGGAACTTCGCAAGCACCCTGTTTCTCCCTATTCCCATGGTGTCTCCCTCTATCATGGTATCTCTTTCCTTGCTCTCCCACTCTCTCCCTATTCCATCTCAACCATCCCATCCCCTCATGTTCTCATCCCCCATCCCCTACCCTCCATTGCCCCATACCCCCAGTTTACTCATGGAGATCTCATCTATTTCCCCTTCCCAAGGCAATCCATGCATCCCTCTTAGAGTTCTCCTTGTTAGCTAGCTTCTCTGGAGCTGTGGGTTGTAGTCTGGTTATCTTTTGCTTTACATCTACTATCCATTTACAAGTAAGTACATACCATGTTTGTCCTTCTGAGTCTGGGTTACCTCACCCAGGATGGTATTTTCTAGTTCCATCCATTTGCCTGCAAATTTCATGATGTTATTGTCTTTTGCGGCTGAGTATAATTCTTGAAAACTTATCCACAACACCAACCTCACTCTTCTTTTTTGAAAGCAAAACTAAATGGAGTTTTATAAACTAGGAAATGAGAGAATTATGTTCATCTTTCTGCCCTTAGTATTATTTAATATGTCCAGTTAGCTGCTTAGGTCAGCGGTCTGAAATTGTTTCCTCAGATCACAGTCATGGCTGGAGGATTTGTAGCAGGATTGACAATTCTGGGTGGAGGAACAGCCTGGGAGAATTTCCAGGATTATTGGAGATTCACAAGAAGTCTGAAAATCAGAGACTACCTTCTCTACTCAAGTGCCTTTCACATCATGTACCCCATACAAAAAAGACCCCAATCTCTGTGCATATGTGTGTATAGTACATGCCTAGCGGTTATGTATGTATGGACACAGGGTGTCTTTCTACATCCTGGATATGAATCAAATGCACTGTGGAGAGATTTTGTTTTAAAGAATCAATAGGAAATTTATTTCTTTTTTGTTACATTTATCTTATGTATGTTTTGCTTTCTGTGCTCAGGAAATTAAGAGACAATCAGAAATCAACCTCAAAGAAAATCCTGTCTGGACTTCTCATCTGGAAAATGCCCCCACATTGGTAAAGAAACAAAGCTATACTTGCACAGACTTTTCCAGAGGACAGACAATAAGAAAGAATCCACAAACAAAATTTTGAAGACCTAATTCACTACACCTGAAATCCTGGAAGTACCACGTAAGACAGGACAGAACAATCCAATTCTTCCTTGACATATTTGTGCAAAATTCTGAACTGTATCTAACAGGTCTCCACGCAAAAGAAAAAACCTGAAAAAAATTACAACACATCATGACCATGCCAGATATTCTGGGATCTAAGTAGGGTGGAGCATACAGCAAGGAAAAGCTATAAAAACAAAGTCAGTAAGACCTAAAAAAATAAAATTGTGGTAAGGAAATCCAAGATCTGGCCCCTCTCAGAAAAGCAGAAACACAAGCAAATCCATCAACATCATCTTTGTGGATGTTCTAGGAATATCAATGCCTTGTAGCCAAGTATAAAGTATTGATGTAAGTGAAGGGGACACACACTTCAAAACCTGCCCAGCCCTCCTGCCTTTCAGGCTATAGGTAATAGAGATTATAACTGAAATGAATCTATAGGCAGTTATTGGTTGCTGGGATGGTGAGGGAAAGACATTTTATTCAGTGGTGTAACCACTAGTTAAATTTCTCGTGCTTCTGTAAGTAACCCTAACGAAAGCCATTGTGTCACCAAAACCAAAACCAACAAAAGAAAAACACAAAAATAGAAGGGTGGGTAGTTGGGAAGAGGATCAGGGAGAGTGGGAGACAGACAAAGGTAGTAGGGGTAAATACGGTAAAAATGCCATGCACACATGTATGAAAATGTCATAAGGAAATTCATTATAAAACCACTAATACCTGCTAATATAAATAAAACACTGACATTAACACAACAATAAACTGGATTCAAATAGCCCTGTGTTATTTTTAGTCTCGTTATTCCCACAACTGTTTTACAGGGACGTTGCAAACCTTGATTCAAGAGCTGAAACGTGTGAACACAGCGCAGCTTCTCTATCTGATTGTTTTTCAATTTTCCTTGAATTAATGCAGAAAACTGAGCAGGAGATTAAAAGACTACATTAAGAGAAGGGACAATAAGTACTGTGAAAATAGATAGATGTTTTTACATAATAAAATACAGGTACAAAGTACAGGAATATTAATTCATACTGGGATAAGTATTTTGCCTGAAAAATGTGTTTGAATAAATTAAACTATTAGGAAAGGTTATATTCCTGTTATGTTTTCTTGTATTTCTATAACTATCTGTATATGTGACCTATTTTCATATATTTTATTTAAATATAATAACTTGAAAATGTTTTAACTGTTTTTCTTTTCAAAATAAAGGAAGTACACTACAAATTATGTCTTTAGTTTACTTTAAATAAAATATTCACTTCAATGTTGAAATATAACCAAATAAATCAAATAAAGTTTAAGGATTAAAAAGTAAGAAGGTCTTTTTCCTTTTTTATTTTTAACAAGTAAATGCTGGTATTACCTACTCTTGAAAACCTAACAGAATTAAATAAAACAGGTTATTAAAGTTGTTAAGTTGCCAGCAGAGCTCTGCTTATCACTAGGACCACCTCTCTGGAATCAGCCTATGTCAAGCTATTTTGAACCACTGTAAATACAGTAATCAAAGCGCTTTAGGAAAGACATTCAAACCACACAGTGGGGAGATCAGGTGAGGAGACACACTGATCTCCTCACCACTGTCATGTTGGGGATGTGTGAAAGAGCTGTGGATGGCCCCAGTCTAGTTCGAGGACAAGGAGACCTGGAATTCAGTGGGCAATAATTGTTTTGCCTCACTGCCTTTCCTGTACCCTGATGGCACACTCTGATATGCCTGACCAGAAGAGAGGAAGAGAGGATCCAGGTAAGTGCCATTCCTGGTACCTTGCCTTGTCAGTATGTGGTAAGGTGACCAACCACAGCTCAGCCCCAGAGAGTTCTAAGAACACAAAGTGGCCATAGCAAAGCATGTGTTGAAAGAATGTAGCACAGCCTCTTTGTACCTCTCCCTTTGTGTACCACGTTGCCTTTGGACTCTTAAAGCCCAGAGACTTTCTCTGATATTTTGCCAAACTCTCTCCTTCACCATCTTGCTAGTTGGTCCCAACCAACTTCCTAAAGGACTCTGGGTCTATCTCCCTGAAACACTGAAGAGGAGAGATAAAGATGTGTGTTCTGCTGTGGAAGGCAGCCTGGCCTCTATTTCCCAGTGAGCCTAGTAGAGCCTGTTTCAAGCTGATTAGGAAGTTCCTTCCTCCTACCTGCTTAGCAAGACAGTCTTACCTGTCTGTCTTAGTTAGGCTTTCTACTGCTACAATCAAACACTATGACCAAAAATCAAGTTGGGGAGGATAGGATTTACTTGGCTTACATGTCCACATCGCCAAAGGAAGTCAGGACAGGAACTGGATCAGGGCATGATCCTGGAGCCAGGAGCTGATGCAGAGGCCATGGAAGAAAGCTGCTTACTGGCTTGCTCCTCATGGTTTGCTTAGCCTGCTTTCTTATAGCAGATAGGATCAGTAGCCCAGGGATGGTACTACCCACCATGGGCTGGGCCCTCCCCCATTGACCACTAATTGAGAAAATGCCTTACAGCTTGATCTCATGGGAGGCATTTCCTCAACTGAGGCTCTTTCTTCTCTGATGACTCTAGCTTGTATCAAGTTAACACACTAAACCAGCCAATATAACTGACCCCTTGTCAACTTGACACACAGACACATCACTATTAAGCCACAACCTTTCCTTTCTTACTCATTCCCAAGATCTCACATTAAAATCATGAATAATTTGTAAAGACAAACAGTCTTTACAAATGCAAACAATTAAAATTTCAGTCTCTTTAAAATATCCAATCTTTTAAAAGTTCAAATCTTTTATCTGTGGGGTCCTTTAAAAATCAAAATTAAATACCTTTTTCAAGAGGGAAGAACCAAGGCACCGTTACAATTTGAACCAAGTGAAATCAAACTCCAACAGTATAAATAACTCAATGCCCAATTATCCAGGATTTACTTACGATCTTTTGGACTTCTCCAAAGGGCTTATGTCACTTCTCTGGCTCCACCCTCTGCAGCACACAGAACTTGTCTTCTAGGCTCCATCTGGCTCCACTCCACTGACGATATTTTGGTAGTTATCCCATAGTACTGACATCTCCAAAAAGCTGGTCTCTGGTGCAACTGGGCTGCACTTTCACCAATAGCCTCTCCTAGGCTCTCTTCATGGTGCCAAATCTCAACCTTTCTGCATGACCCCTTCAGTCCTGGGCCTTCAACTTTTACTGAGGCTGCACCTTCACCAATGGCCTCTCTGGGCCTCTCACAACGCCAAGCCTCAGCTCCTCTTCAAGACCCCTTGATGCCTTCAAAACTAGTACCACCTGGGTGATGTTTATACATTACCAAGTCCAGCCACCAGCACGAGGTACAAACTTAGCCACCTCTAGAACACAGCTTCTCTGTGCTCTCAGGAAACACTTCCCAGAAGATTTCACCTCAGTGATTCTGGTCTTTTCTTAATCACCCTAGCTTTAGTAGATCTGGTATCTTGTTAATTACAGATGATTCTTCAGCTCCAGCTAACCAGAACCACAGAATCTTAATTCAAAATAACAAATGGCCACAGAGTAAACCTGCTTATTGGCTTGCTTCACCTGGCTTGCTCAGCCTGCTTTCTTAAAGAATTCAGGATCATCATCCCAGGGATAGCACCACTCACCATAGGCTCCCTCCCCCATTGATCACTGATTGAGAAAAAGCCTTACAGCTGGATATCACAAAAACATTTCCTCAACTGAGGCTCCTTCCTCTCTGGTGACTCTAGCTTGTGTCAAGTTGACATACAAACAAAACCAACCAGCTGGTATACTGACTAAAGGAGGTAAGCTCAAAGCTTGGCCTCAGCCAGCTCTCCCTGGGTGTTCTAAATTTTCCCTGACACCACCCTGGAGTTGTGCCACACATCCAATGCCCACTCATGTTTCTACACATGCTTGTAGCTATTATGTTAAACATGAATTGTGAAAGTCTGATAGATATGGGTACATGAGGTACATTGTATTTTTTTTTTAAGAAACTTAGTCATTAAAGACGGAACATCCGGCAGTTAAACATTTAGCACACAGCACCCTTCTGTTTGTGGGGTGCCAGCATGAAGAAACTGAAATCCAAGGACTCTGTTGGTTGCCAAGGCCACATAGCCTGTCAGGGTGACTCAGTTCATTGAAATCCCAATCTGCATGTGTGAACCCAGAGACATCTCATTACTTCAGTAAAAGAGTGACTATGATCTCAACATCACTACTACCTCCTGTAGTGGAACCTCTACATGTATACACTCATGCTCTTGCCCAGGAGCTCAAGAGAAACACTTTTAATTCTGGTTTTCTAGATGAGGGACTGGGAAAAGGCATTTATCCACAGGGATGCAGTTAATAAACTAGTAAGTCAATCCATGATCCATGAGGAGATGTGGTCCCAATACCCATTTTCTTAATACAATTTGAGAAACAACCTCTACCAGGCTTTTTCTTTAGGGCCACTAACCATCTCTCAAATCATGACACAGAGACTTATTATTAGTTTTGAATGCTCGACCTAACTTAGGCATGTTTCTGGCTAGCTCTTTTAACTTTAAATTAACCTGTCACTCCTTATCTACACTTTTGCCTTGGGGCTTGTTACCTTCCTGACTTCTGTGTCTGTTACTTTCACTGCTTCTCTGTGTTTGGCTGGCTTCTTGCCCTGGATGCGTCCCTTGTTCTCTCCTCCTTCACTCATTTTTCCTTCATTCCTCTTTTTTGCTCAAGCTTAGATTTCTACAGCATAAACAAGTGTTACACATCTTTGCCTAGTTAAAATAATATTCCACAACAACAACCTTATAATAAAATGCATAAATGTGTAAATTTAGTTAGTCATCAACTAAGCATTTTCAGCAAACTTTAATAAGCCCAGGAGCCGGATTACATAAACATAGAGACTATAAGGTGACAGTTCTCTAGATGGACCTAGTGGCACAGGCAATCCAGCTACTGAGGAGGCTTAAGAAAATTTAAGTTCAAGTCCTGCTCACACTACAGAAAAAGTTCAATGACAGTCTAGTAAACTCATTGAGATCCTGTTTCGAAATAAAAAGTAAAAGGAGAGTTAAAGATATCACTCAGCATACGCCTATCATGCACAAAACCCCAGGAATTCTGTCCTCCTTCAGTAACACTGTCCATCCTGAGGAACGAGGAAT